AGCCGGGTCTCGCTCGGCTGGCGGTGACGGGGCCGCTTCGCTTCCTCCTGCCGCAGCCAGCCTGAAAAACGAAGGAAACGAGCTGTTTAAGAGCGGACAGTTTGGAGAAGCTGTGCTCAGATACTCGGAAGCGATTGAGTGTGTCACTGGTTTAGGTGAGTGTAGTAGCGTATGCTTAAATCTAGGATTGATGTTTAGATTGTGTAAAGGAACTACGGATGACCTAACCTAGCCTGTCCCTGGGTTTTTGGCAAGAGTCACTGTGCAGTAAATTCTTCGTCATTGCAGTAGAGGACAGTTCATGTGATGCAAAATATAGGAAGATGAGTGAAATAGTATTTTAACTTCCCTGGGACAGAGCTGTTTGTATTTCTGTATGTGTTTGAATAATTCCATATTCTAGGTGATGTGATAAAGAAAAGCTCCTTACAGCTTTGCATTGTCAGCAGACTGCATCACTGCAGTGCAACGCAAGTCTTTAATTCTTCATTTTAGTAATGGTCTTTGATTTTAATTGTAACTTCTTTTAGGAGAACAAAGTCCGGATGATTTAAGTATCTTGTACTCAAACAGAGCAGCGTGTTACCTCAAAGAAGGGAACTGCAGTGACTGCATTCAGGATTGTAACAGGTAAATTGCAACCTTCCATGTAGAGCAACAACATTCCTGATGATGATTAAACGTTTTAACTGATACATTGTTATTGCTGTTTGACTTGGAACAATCTTCAATAAAGTCTGATTCCCTGTCTAAATGATAGGTATCTTTGTCAGTTATGTAAACAATCACGTGGAACCTCAGGAAGGAGTAACTTAGCTTATGGCCTTCCTGTGTTAGGGCAGTTGTTAGGCTTCTTGTGTACACAGATATGCATAGCAGGATTAAAATTTTTAATATAAAAGCAGGCTTACTTCAGTGATGCTATGTAGTAAGTTCTATGTAAAAGGTTTGTTAAGCTAGATGCTTATCACAGTGTTGGAAATTGCTTTCAAGTATGTGTGTAGTCTAGATGTGTGTGCTCTCTGTGTTTGTTTCGTTTTGGGTTTTTTTATTATATGCCTGGAATAGTTATAATTGGTAATTACAGCTGTTCTGGACTTGAGCTAGAATGCTTTCTGCCTGTTGTGGCTTTTAAGGATATAGGACGTAGAGAAATCAGACACCTTCAACAACTTCCAAACACTGCCTTCCACTAAATTATTACTGTATTCTAGATTTCTTTTTTTATATTTTTGTAGATAGCATTAGTAAGACTGAGGCTTTAGGTGCAAAAAAGGATCCCAAGACAGTTAGAAATCATATTAATTAATCAGTTGGGATTTTTTACAGCACAACCCAGCTCTTAAAAAAAAACTTAAAAATAAAATTTGCATGTACTTTTGTATTGACTAAATATTTGACTTACTGTATATGTTCTACATGACAGAAAAGTTTTTTGAAAATGTAATCCGAAAAAATTGACTGGTTAATGTTTTGTTAAAGCAAATGCAGGACCATAGATTGTTGATAAAACAAGACGGCACACTTAACAGCCGTCACATTTTTCTATTCAGGAGGTTTGAACTATGTAAGACTTCAACTGAAATCAGTAATACAAAGATTTTGGGGTTTGTATCCTTACTAATTGGAAGCTGATTTTCTTGCTGCTTAATGATAGTGTCTTTAATGTTGTGCATATTTTCTGGATAAACAAGGACCCATGATGCTTACTGAACACAACAGAGGTAGAAATAGTTTAGAGACTGGAAAGCAGAACTGCAGAACTACAAACACACATGAATTAGGCAAAGTCAGTTAAATCTTCTCTAGGTGACCCAACATAATCTATGAATAGGTTACTTGATTTCGAAGTTTAAAATGGTGTAGTGCTTATATTTGTGATACAAAAACAGTATTGAACATTTATTTTTATTAAGTTTTAGCTAAGTTCTAGCCAGCGTGACCTGGACAGGCTGGAAAGTTGGGCAGAGAGGAACCTGATGAGGTTCAACAAAGGCAAATGCAGGGTCCTGCACCTGGGGAGGAACAACCCCATGCATCAGTACAGGCTTGGGGTGGACCTGCTGGAGAGCAGCTCTGCAGAGAGGGACCTGGGTGTCCTGGTGGACGACAGGTTAACCATGAGCCAGCAGTGTGCCCTGGCTGCCAAGAAGGCCAATGGGATCCTGGGGTGCATCAAGAAGAGTGTGGCCAGCAGGACGAGGGAGGTTCTCCTTCCCCTCTACACTGCCCTAGTGAGGCCTCATCTGGAGTACTGTGTCCAGTTCTGGGCTCCCCAGTTCAAGAAAGATGAAGAGCTACTGGAGAGAGTCCAGCGGAGGGCTACGAGGATGATGAGGGGACTGGAGCATCTCTCCTAGAAGTTCTGCCTGAACATGAGGAAGAACTTCTTCCCTCTGAGGGTGACGGAGCACCGGCACAGGCTGCCCAGGGAGGTTGTGGATTCTCCTTCTCTGGAGATATTCAAGACCCGCCTGGACAAGGTCCTGTGTAGCCTGCTGTAGGTGACCCTGCTTCGGCAGGAGGGTTGGACTAGATGACCCACAGAGGTCCCTTCCAACCCCTACCATTCTGTGATTCTGTGATTCTATTTAGGGCTTAGAAGTATGTAAAACCCCCTTTGTTGGGTCTTTCTTTGTCTCAAGACCCTGGTATCTGATTTGGAGTGCCTTTGATTCTTATTAAAGGGAGTGAAATAGGGTCTCCTATGCACTAATGTTAAGTTTATTTAGTGCCTTAGTGTGGTTTGGTCCCTGGTGGTAGTTTTCCATTCCCTCTGATGCTACTCTTCAAGCAGTGTCGTCTTCCCTTGAATTTATTTATGGTTGGTTTTTTTTTTCTTCATTCTTGATGTTGGAAATCTGAAATTGCGTTAATATTCTTCTGAGTTACAGAATGTCAAGCGTTTTTGAGGGGTTTTGTAGGGGTTATGATGTTGTGCGCTGTTGTGTTTTTCAAATGCATTCAGCAACAGAGAGAGAGATGAAACATTGGAAATATTTACAAAATGGAAATTGGAAATGTTTGTTCTAGAAATCATTGTTTCTCTAGCTTTAAGAGGAGTAATGGTGCAAAGCCGATTTACAGCAAAGGTGGCCAACAGCCTCCTGGGCTTATAAACAGGAGCACAGCCAGTGGATTGAGTACTCAGCACTTGTTAGACCACATCTATGGTAACTCTGTCAGGTTTTGGCTTCCCTGGTACTAGAAAGACGGTGATCAACTGGAGTGAGTTCAGTGGAGTGTCACTGAGGTGGTTGTGAACTCTGGAGCTCTTGCTTGGAGAGGAGAGGCTGAGGGAGCTGGATTTGTTCAGCTTAGAGGAGAATGGCTTCCAGGGGTCCTAAGAGCAGCCTGCCAGTACCTAACCCAAGGGGAGACTATCCTCAGGACGGATCCTGGCTCTTTCCGACAGTAAGTTGTGGGAGGACAAGAGACAACAGACAAAAATTGAACCACATGAGGTTCGGACGGTGTATTAGGAGAAACTTTTTTGCGATGAACAGTGGGGGACATCGCAACAGGTTGCCCAGAGATGTTATGCAGAGATTCCCTTAGATGTTTTCAAGGCCTGACTGGATAAAGCCCTGAGCAACCTTCTCTGATCTCAAAGCTGACCCTTCATGTAGCAGAAGGTTAGACTAGGGACCTCTCAGCCTGAATTACTTTATGATTCCATGAAATCTAAGTGGCTAGATGCAACATAATTTCAGTATTTTGAAGTTTATGTCTTTTTCTCTTTTGCAAGAATCGTTGATTTATAAAAGGTAGTCTTTAATAAATAAAGCCTTTGTGGCCTGCTTCTTCATACTGATGCAAAAGCACGTGGTGTTTGGAAGGCATTCTGATTGCACAGTGTCTGGGGTTGAGCTCAGTATTGCCCAGGCACACAGTCACAAGAGTAAATGGACAAAAGATAGGCAAAAACCTAAAAGCCAAAAAAAGACAGGTGTATATTCAGATCTTACTAAATGTGTTTTTTACGTGCAAACTTCCATGTAAAGAAGAAGAACTAAAAATCACATAGGCAAAAGCACCATATACTTGAAGTCCCCATAGATCTAGGCATGACTTAAGAAAAATAGCTTTTGCTCTTCAACAGCTGCCATTACATTTATCTTTTCTTGGTGCTGAAAGCAGTTTTCCAGATGGAAGATAGGTATGTCTATATGAGTCCCTCAGGGGTCCATACTGGGACCGGTGCTGTTCAATATATTTATCAATGACATGGACAGCGACATTGAGTGTACCCTCAGCAAGTTTGCAGATGACACCAAGCTGAGTGGTATGGTTGAGACACCAGCAGGACGGGATGCCATCAAGAGGGACCTGGACAAGCTGGAGAGGTGGGCCTGTGTGAACCTCATGAGGTTCAACACGGCCAAGTGCAAGGTCCTACACCTGGGTCGGGGTAATCCCCGGTATCAATACAGGCTGGGGGATGAAAGGATCGAGAGCAGCTCTGCTGAGAGGGACTTGGGGGTACTGATAGACGAAAGGCTGGACATGAGCCGGCAATGTGCGCTGTCAGCCCAGAGGGCCAACCATGTCCTGGGCTGCATCAAGAGAAGCGTGGCCAGCAGGTCGAGAGAGGTGATTCTGCCCCTCTACTCTGCTCTGGTGAGACCTCACCTGGAGTACTGCGTTCAGCTCTGGAGCCCTCAGCACAAGAAGGACATGGAACGGTTGGAGCGGGTCCAAAGGAGGGCTACAAAAATGATCTGAGGGCTGGAGCACCTCTCCTATGAGGACAGGCTGAGACAATGAGGGTGGTGAAACACTGGAATGGGTTGCCCAGAGAGGTAGTGGAGGCCCCATCCCTGGAAACATTCAAGACCAGGTTGGACAGGGCTCTGAGCAACCTGATCTAGTTTGTGGTGTCCCTGCTCGCTGCGGGGGGGTTGGACTAGATGACCTCTAGGGGTCCCTTCCAACCCAAAACTTTCTATGATTCTATGTGGGTAGAGTAAGTTGTAGTAAAAGCACTAACAATTTCATAACTGCATGTCATTTAGGGTATTAATATAAACCATTTAGTGCCATTTTCTTTTGCTGTGTTACTGTAAGGCCCATCTGAAATCACAAAGCTGATACTTTATAGTCCTGTATATCATAAAATAGTTTTATTAATGTTATTTTGGTTACTCTGTTTCAATCCTGCATATTTTTTTGTTTTCTCTAGAGCTCTGGAGCTTCAGCCATTTTCCCTTAAGCCTCTTCTACGACGAGCAATGGCAAATGAATCTATGGAGCAGTATCGCCAGGCGTATGTTGATTATAAAACAGTCCTACAAATAGACAGCAGCATCCAAGCAGCAAATGATAGTGCTAATAGGTAACTGCCCTTAAAAATTTTCTGAGATCAGTCCAAATAAAAAAGTGAAATTCATTTTTTTTTGTTTTACGTGCTCCCTCTGTTCTGTATCCCTCAGCGGCAGGGCAGTCATAACTAGTGCATTACAACTAGAGGACTGGCGTTCCATTTAGTTGTTTGTTTTCCCATAGCTTCACAGTTTGCGTATGCCAGCAGTAGGTCGCTTTCAGTTTTAAAAATGTAATATTTTAAAGGCTTTTTTTACTGATGCTTCAACTTGTTTTCTTTCCTAACTTGTATTTGATACCATGTAAAGTAATACTTCAAGGTCCATAGCTTTTCTCTGACATTTCTATTTCCTTTTCATATTAACAGTCTTCCTGTGGCCGCTGGACATTTATGTTAAGTGTGAATTGCTCAGTATGCTGCAGTTATGTAAACACTGAAGTAGCTTGATACAACGGTTGGCTACAAAACTGAAAGCTGTAAAAAATATAGTTGTATATTATTTTTAACCTAAGTGTTAATACTTCCAACGTTAATTCATGCTGCCAAGAGAGACATGTCAATTTCTACAATTATATTTTAAAAATGTAAAATTAGTGTATACACACTATTGTAATTGTGTTCTCATTAATATATGTTAACTACTTAAGCGTGTGAATGATAGGGCTTTTTCCATTCCCTTTTCTTGTCTTTTATCTTTTAATGGGCAAAAAAAGTATTTATGGAGGCAGAAGAGCCATTAATCATTGGGCAGGGACCCGCATGCATGGGACTTATAACAATGGAATCTAGTACCTGTTTTTTTTTCTTTTTTATCTCATTAAAAAGTCCATAATATCTTTAAATTCTGCTTATTTGAGTGGTGGTGGCCAGTGGAGATCATGATACTTTAAGACTTCTAAGAGGAGATGGTATTTTTGATAACAGATTGTTACTGATGTCCTGTGTCTATGCTGATAGTAGAGCACTTGGATTGGTGAGGTAACTGCTTGTCCTGGTATCTGTGTGATTATTATACTTTTTTTTTAATCTTCTTGGCTTATTTTATCTGCAGATACTTTTTTCACATTTCTCCTTGACTTGTAACTTGCTTAGTAATAAGCTTATTTCCTTTCTTCCCCTTAACACTCTTCCTTTTCTCCTCTCTAGGCCTTCCTTATGTTTTTAGCTTCACTGCTCATTACTCTTTCCTCCCTGGCAACCCATCACCTTATTTCAGCTGCTTCTTCCTTCTCCTCTTCCGCTGGTAATTCCTTTTTGCTTGCAAATTTGTTAGTTTCTAAAGCGTAGACCTCTTCAATAAATGAACTTTTACTATAATTTATTTTTTAGTATCTAGTCATTTATGAATTAAACTGAGATTGTCTACCAAAGTATTCATTTTCATTCCCAAAGTAACAGACCTTTATAAAAATGACTTAACACAAAATTATAGTTCCTACTGCCTGTTAATGTCAAGGGCCAACCCTAAAATGAAATTTAAATATTTTTTATATTCGGTCTCAACAACCTGCTTTTATTGGAGGATTTCTTTGATTTTAAGTTCCTGTGGGAAAGTGGATGGTGATGCTGTAGGAAGCTGACAGGAAAAACTCATCATCCTACTTGTGTCTGAGGGTGGGTTTGATAAATGACTTTAAGGCTTGTCTTTCTGTACTTACCTAGCTAAGCAGGCTTTCCAAAAATCTTGGAATTGAGTGGGTGTTCAGTCTGATATTTCTAATAATTCTCACGTAAAAGACAAGTAGAATTTTTAATATACAGCCTTTACCTGATCATTTTGCAATAAAAAGGAATAAGAGTGTAGGTACATATTTTTATGAAAAGTCAACTGAAAACAAGTATTAACAGTTATTTGAGTGTTTATCATGTTGGTTAGATGATGTTGAACTATGTCCTGTGTTGGTTACCCTGAGGAGATTTTTAGAAATACTGGAAGGACTGTTTCTTTTAATGGTGTGTGCCAAGTCACAGGAAAATGCATTTCAAGCTTGCTTTTAATTAGCGGCATTTTCTTAGCTTTGTGAACATCAATGAGTTTCCTACTTTGTGTATTTTAATTTCCTCTTGAGTGAGTGTTTTATTATTTGCTTTTCACTGTTAGACATACAGAAGCTCTGTTGTGGGGCAATATGTCTATGCGTTTCTATTCACTAAACTGAAGTTTCATTCCAGTTGTCTCAACTCCTTAACATCAGTTAGCAAATTGCAGTAGATAGCTTGGGAGCTTTTATTACAAAGTCCCATGAGAGTGTTGTACTGTACAAACATCTTTGTGATAGACTCCAAAACTGTAGGATTGTTGGGTCAAGTTAGGGTGTTGGTGGTGGGGAAGAAGTGTGTTTGTCCCAGCTTTTTAATAAGATACCTCTGCTTTTTTAACTAACCATATACATTTTTGCAAAAGACTGTGCTTAGATTATAAGAAGTCTGTTGAGCATCAAATATTGCAGGATTCTGTTGATTTTGATGAATTAGATCAGGGGTTTTCTCCAACTTTTTAAGCCGATTATGATAAATTAAGATAAATTAAACAGGAAGTCAAGGGGACCATGGTTTACTGTAGAATTACTCTGTTACTTTCTATGGGAAATACCGAAATGTAATGAACGAACTTTTTAATATGAAGTGTACAGTTTTGTTCTCTAATAAAATAACCTGAGTAAATGTTAGGGCCGTTTGATTTATGAAGTTGTGCCACATTTTTCTTAACTAATGAATTCAGACTATGATTAAAAACCTAAAGTTTTAGTAAAATTAGAGCAAAACAGAACTTGGGACAAACTGCTTTGTTGGTGTGTCCTATAAAATACTGCTTAGGAATGATACAGGTGGAGGAGGAGAGCCCCTGGCAGAGCATATGCAGCTGACACAGAAAAATATTATTCTTGTTCACTTAGAAAACAAATAAGGTGACTAGATAGTACTATGAAATGCAATATTCTGTGTATGAAGAAATTTACTTTCAATTAAAAAATGCAAGAAATCGTATGTTTCATGCAGCCTTATATAGTAAATAAAGTCACATATTATATAGCTCTACAGCTTTTTTAGTCCATATATTCTTTAAAATATTTTGGTAATTTCTGTTTTGCAACAAAGAAGTTTAGAACAGGTGCTGCTTCTTGTATTGGTTTTTCTCAGACCCTCATGGGAAAAGAAATTGGTCCTGAGTGATATGACTCTGTTGCCGTAGTATTATACTGAGGCTTTTTTTTTGTTTTGTTTTATAGCTAGCTGTTAACTCAAATATTTTAAAAGAACAAAACTAAGCAAAAAACCATGACTGGATAATTTATGCTCATTCTGTCTCGTTCTGCATGTTGCATTCAAAGTTATTTATTTTTGGATGTATATTCATGTAGTGGGTTTGGTTTCTTTTTATACCTGTATTAGGTGGAAATGGACCTAATATACAAAGTTCAGGTTTATTGATGATAGTATCAATGTGACTTGCTTTGCTAGTCAATTCAGAATTTTCCGTGGTTAAAGTAGGTATTAGACTTATCACCAGTTGAACTTGACTCTTAAGCTTATTTTGAGATTAGAAGACACTTATCTCACGATTATTCTCATAATTGATTAATATTTGTTTGGTGTTTAAAAAACACAACAAAAATTGTAATGGAAGCATGAAATCTTGTATGGCTTTACTCATTATGTTTACTTAGGTCTTTCTCTAAAATGTATTACAGCAATGGCAAACTCCCACTTGAATGGATTTTGGATTGAATCTCTCGTGTATGGAAATGGTTGACCTGTATATCTATGTGTTGGTTTAAGAAACACTGAACAGATAAAGAATGATCAATTGATGAATTTCTGACTGTTCTATAAAATGCAACTTAATACCTACTTTGTAACCTGCTTTGGTTATTTAGAGAATTGTGTAAGAGGTTTCATTTGACATTAGCAAATTTAGGCACCACACTTTGTCTGAGGAGATTGTAATCTACACTTGTTACAAATAATGCCTATGAACAGGTGAGAAAATTAAACAAAATTAATACATCAGGGTTTTTTCGTATTTCTTTGTTGCATGTGGTAGAGGTAGCATTTAGAGCTCAGCTGTAAAATTAGTCATTTGCTTAAATATTTACTGATCATGCTGAACTCAGCTTCTTGTCTTCTAAATGCTAGCATAAATACGCTAAACAGTGGAAAAAGTCTAAGTCTTAAATGATTCCAATACTGTTGACAACTGTGACAATCTTTTTTTAAATTAGTCTTAAGGATAATTGTTCAGTTGTTTTTCGAAAAGTTGGAACATTGCCTTATGATTAATTTGGGTTTAAGTTATTAAAGTGTGAGTTAAGTATATGAAAAGTCATGTTGGTGGGTCTTTTTTCTCTTTCAGAATAACAAAGACTTTAATAGATCAGGATGGTCCGAGTTGGAGGGAGAAACTGCCACCAATTCCAGTTGTCCCAGTTGCTGCTCAGCTACGTAGGTGGGGTGGGGGAAACTTTGCTTCAGAGAATAAGCCAAGAAGTGCTACAGATAACAACAGAGAAGAACAGCTGCAGATGAATCGTATGTATAGCTAATGCAAATATATATACAAAAAAGAAAATAATTTAAATTGAAGAATGGAATATGATTTAATGATGTCAGAGAAACTGCTTTAGAAAATATTTATTAGAGACCTATGTGAAAAGCCAGGTTAGATGATGGCCATTTAAATGATTGAGCTTAATGTGCTTTATGGAGCCACAGTTACGATAAATTTTTTTTAAGCTAAGTGATGTAGTTTGCAGAATGAAATTTCTGCAGTTATATAAAATAAAAGAAAATATAGCAGAAATGCTCATCAGCAGTATATTGAGTCCTATCACAAATATCAGTGGTTTCCCTGACACCGTACTACAGTTAACACAGTTTTCCGTGAAAGAACCACCACTCAAACAAACACCCAACCTCAGTAATGTAATCAGCTGCATAATCTGCAGCTGTTATTTAATTGTTTTTGAAAGCATTACTC